TGCCCTACCAGGTCTCCCACACCCACCTCCCCACCAATTTGGATCGCTTGTTGTTCCCTTGTCTCTGGGTTTGTTAACACCTCTTCCCTTCCCCCCACCTCTGTGTTCTATGCACTTCCCTGAAGCTACAATAATAAATCATTCAAAAGTCCCTGCCCCCACTGATCCTACCTGATAATTGACGGAAATAGTGACAATGCCAACTTAACTGCCATCAGTTGACTCCAACTCTTAATGGTGCTGTAAGACCCGGTAGAACTGCTCCTGTGGGTTTTGAGACTATAGATCTTTATGGGACTAGAAAGCCTTGTCTTTCCCCTGAGGAGTAGCTGGAAGTTTCAAACTGCTGGCCTTGAGATTAGCCTTCCAACATGTAATCCATTATACTATGCAGGACTCTCTGAAGAAGAAAAAAGACCCAAAAAAGCCTTCCTGTTTTAAGAGGATGCTGCTTAACTGTTACTTCCCTTAGTGCATTCTCTAAGCTCCTTTTTACATATGCACATCCATACACACCCTAGGTCTGTTCTTAAGTCTGGAAGGAGAGACTGAGCTCCCTAGAGTTGGGTGGGAACTCAGAATGTGAGGAGAGCAGCCTTCCCAAAGACAGTGTGTTAGCAACACAAGGGCTAACCTTGAGGAAAGAAAAGCTTGTCATAAAGATAATGAGACCCTGGGCAAACATTTTGAACAGAACTGAGAATAGGTAGCAAGTTCAAGAAGACCTAACTTTAAAGCGGTGGTTGTCAACCTGTGGGTCACGACCCCTTTGGGGGTGGAACAGCCCTTTCACAGGGGTCCCCTCAGACCATGGGAAAACACATATTTCTGACACTGCTCTCCCTCCAGGCGGGTCCGCCCACATGCAGATACACCCACATAGTGTTCCGGTGTGAAGGCTGTTACCCATGCTACACCATATTTCAAGACAAATTTTTATTGATTTGTCATTAGAAATAAATATTTCACAATATAATTACATACTGTTTTGTGATTAATCACTATGCCTTAATTAAATTCAATGTGTAACAATGAAAATATATCCTACCTATCAGATATTTACATGATGATTCTTAACAGTGGCAAAATTAGTTATGAAATAGCAACAAAAATAATTTTATGGTTGGGGAGTCGCAACATTAGGAAGGTTGAGAACCATTAGGAAGGTTTAAAGTATATAAAGTAAGTTGGAGTGACTAAGCTGGAGTTTTTTATTTTTTCAAGATGGCTAAATGGTCTCATTCAGAATAAAACAAGATAATGAGAAAGGCAGGTTTCACTAGAGAAAAGATGGGTCAGGCTAGATTTGCTTGTATTCATTTGAGAAGGAATAAAAGAAGCAGTTGACTTAAGAAATTAACGTTGTTTGTACCACTGAAAACGCTGCGTAGATTTTCTTTGCTTGCAGACAACATGAAATATAAGATTACAACCTGGCCTGACCTTCAGAGATTTCATCACTAATCTCAATAATATGGGTGGTGTAAGTTTTTATTTTAAAACCTTGGGATATGGAAGATCTTTTAGATATTTGGGCTACCCTTCTCCCTCACGTTATGTTAATCCTCTCAGTGGAAATTGCCTGAGAGGTGAGCTTTCCGAGAGGGAATAAGGTTAATTTTTAGATTTTGATATAATATCATGTATAAGTTAATGTGGTGCTTACATTAAATATAACAACATTCATAAAATTCAGGAAAATATACTAATAAATGGATTAATTGGGGGATATATTCATATACGCATGTATAAGATTTAAAATGCTTATGGAGTTTAAGGTTAAAAAAAAAGTACTAAAATCTTTTTAAGCAAATTTTTTAAAGGAAAAATATCTCATATTCATAGATGAGAAAGAAAAGAAGCTCTTCATTCCAAAATACCTTTTAAATTCAGACAAATGTTCCAAAATTTGTTTTAAGAACAGGGAAGAATTTGGCTTCCTGGTAGTTGTTGAGTTCTTACCACGACCCTGCCTGTGCACAAGAGGATGAAGCGTGGCTGGTCCAGCCTCACAATTGTTCTCATATTCAACTTACTGTTGCAGCTCGCGTCAATGCCCCGTTTGAGGGTGTTCCTCTTTTTTGCTGCCCCACTATACCAAGTATGATGTCCTTCTCCAGTGTGATAGTTAGGTTTATTGTGCCAGCCTGGCCAATGAACATATGTGGGATTGATTGAAGGGCAGAGAGATAAATGGCTTGGCGAGCCTCACCTTTTCTGTCTCTTGCTCTGATGGTCGAACCAATGTGTGGCTGCCTTAGCTAGTTCTCTGCCTCAGGTGGCCAGGCTCACTTCCTGGGAGACTTCCTGAGGGCAAACCACATGAAACTACCCTGATGCTGCTCTGGGTGCTGGAGAAGCCGTGTAAAGACCCCTGCCAGCGCTGAGGTGCTTACATGCTCACTGATTTGGCTTTTCTCCTGCAGTCTGTCATTGCGGGGGTTTTGCGAGTTTGAGAAGGACTCTGTAGATCGGTATCAACATATGGGCTAATGTCGGACGTATGGGCTTGGACTGGACTGGGTTGGGATGCTTTCTTAATGTACACTTACCCTTTATATAAAACTCTGTCATACACATATGAGTTTCTGTGGATTTGTTTCTCTAGTCTACCCAGTCTAACACATCCAGGGACTGTTTTCTCCTGATAATATGACCAAAGTACAAAAGACAAAGCCCTGCCATCCTTGCTTTTAAGGAGCGTTGTGGTTGCACTTCTTCTAAGACAGATTGGTTTGTTCTTTTGGCAGTCCATGGTACTTTCAGTATTCTTCACCGGCACCGTAATTCAAATGCATTGATTACTCTTCTGTCTTTCCTTTTCAATGTCCATCTTTCACATGCACATGAGGGCATTGAAAATATCATGGCTTGGGTCCTTAGTCTGCAAAGTAACACCCTTGTTTTATAACACTTGAAAAAGATCTTGTGCAGATTTACCCCATGCAGTGCGTCATTTGATCTCTTGACTGCTGCTTCCATGAGTCTTGAATGTGGATCCAAGCAAGACTAAATCCTTGACAATGTCAACTTTTCCTGTTTATCATGTTACCTCTTGGTCCAGGTGTGAGGATTTAGTCTTCTTTACATTGAGTGGTAATCCATTCTGAAGGCTGCAATCCTTGATCTTCCTCAGCAGGTGCTTCAAGTCCTCCTCACATTCAGCAAGCAAGGCTGTGTCATCTGCACACCACAGGTTTTTAATGAGTCTTCCTCTAATTTGGCTTATGAGATGTTAAAAGCTCTGGCTAGCTACAGGAACCAGGGCTGGCCACCTTCCTATTCTGGGGCTCAGTGGCCACCTTCCTATTCTGGGGCTCAGTTTCCCCAACTGGAAAGAACTACCTGGGCCGGGAGCCGGGGTCCTCAGGAGTGACCGCCGCTAAGCACATTTTTATGTAGTGCTATTATTGTGTTTAACTGGTTGAACTTCTCTTTCTTCAGATGTGCCAAATACTGGTGTAAGCAAGCCCAGAGGTTCTGACCCAGCTCACCCCAACACCTATCTCATCCGGGCCGAGCCGGAACAGGGGCCCCTCTACTCACCGGAGCAGACATCTCTCCATGAAAGTGAGGGTCTGTTGTGTTATCTTTTATGTATGACATTTGCTTTTAATATTTGCTGTTGACAGTAAACATTAGAACTGCATAATAAAGCCATTTCCTGCTGCTTTCCTTTCGGCAGGATCATTGGGTAACTCAAGAAGCTCAACACAAATGAATTCTTATTCTGACAGTGGATACCAGGAAGCAGGGAGTTTCCACAACAGCCAGAGTGTGAGCAAGGCAGATAATAGGCAGCAGCATTCATTCCTAGCATCAACTAATAACCATTTAGTGAGGAACTCAAGAGCCGAAGGACAAACTCTGGTTCAGGTAAGCCCGACACATCAAGAACCTTTTCAAAAACGCTCTGCTTGTTGAATGTCTGTTATATTATTAGGTATTCCTAATAAAGCAAATAATAGTTTCGAATTTACAGAATGGATTCAGTAACAACAATTTTTTACACTGTTCAAGTTTGTGATGTTGAGTTCTTAGGCATGAAACTTCAAATATATTGGCATCTACTAATTAGTTCCTAGTACTGAATTCTGTTAAATTCCCATACAATTCCAAATTAATTCTTCTGGAAGTAACTGGTTGGCATGAGGAAAGGTCCCCAGGGTGAGTAGGACAGAAGTGGGTGGAATGTTTCACTCCCTGCAGAATTCTGAATTTCTAACAATATTAAAGCTTTTAGAGCACAGCACACATTATTCAACACTTCCCTATAAAGGAATTAGCTCATTCTAGCCAACATGTTCACTTTCCTCACTGGAGTCATTCCATGAAAGGATATTTCTTATCTATGGCTAAAATGCAGGTGTCTGTATACCTGCTTACATAAAGTTGCCATGTAGGAATATCTGTTCTTTTAAGGTAGGATTCTCCAACTTGCTAGCCAAAAACAATACCCTGCACTTGCATACCTCCTTAGCCCCTCGTCCATTGCCATGCTAGTCTCCCATCCAGCCGCCAGCACAGGCCAGGGTTCAGTGAAATAGCAGGCGTCTTGGGCCGCAGTAACCAGCGAGGTAACTCTCTGTCTTGTTCTCCAATGAGCTCCTGGGATTGAAAATGACGAGAGGATCAAAGCAGGCAAGCTCAAGCTGGGCTTCCTCAGACACGCTACAGCAAGCCTTCCCGGTGCATTCTACAGACGGACAGACACCGGGTGCCCTCAGAGTCTGAGAAGGGGAAACCTCGGAGTGGAACTCCTGTGCTCATGACCAGTGATTGGCTTGCAAGCTGCTCTCCCCACCTTGAATCCTATTTTGGCTCCTGTGCTGTGTGTGCTGCTTGCAGGGAAAGCAGGGAGAAGATTTAGACTAAATGTGTACAGCATCACTCTTCCTCAGGGAATTTCAGTGTCACGTATCACAAGTCATACGTGGAATAGCAATCACCTTAACTATAGGAGTCATTTCTCTCCTGTTTATTTCAAAAAGCAACAACAAATATATGGCATGCTTATTTTGTGTTTACAGCAGAAAGAATATGTTGCCAGGGGGGTTCTAAAGCTTGACTTGCAAGTACTCTGGACAGTGCATTTTCTAGCTCTCTGGAACAAGTGTCATCCGATTTTGGTTGCCAGCCACTCACGTGTGGACTTTTCTTTACTTAGTGGTTAGTAGTTCTATTAGTAAATCCCTAAAACAGATCTTCACTTTCCAAACACCTAGCACTGTTCAACCTCTTCTTTGGGGCCTGTTCTTGTTTTGAGGTCTCATAAGAGGTGTCTGAGCAAGCCCTGCTACCTGTGTCACCGGCAGGCAAGCACACATCCTCTTGTGACAGGCCAGGGGAAACAAAGTCCTGGTCTTACTTCACTTCTTCTCTTACCATCCCATGTAAAAGTGAATGGGAAGTAATGGCACCTACACTTCAGCAGTCACTAACGAGGTGAATAGAAGAGCCTGCCATGAGGCTTCCATCTCAGTGCCCTGATGACTGTCGTCCATTCTGAGCCTGCCTTCTTTGGGCCCTGCCTCCTTCTCCCAGCCCCATTCTCCTTCATTGTCCTGCGGCATTCAGAAAGGGACCCGAGACTCGCTGTGAGCAGCGCTCTATGGATTCCTAGTAGGGTCCACCCATGGCAGGGCTATCTGTCTTCCCTTCCAGTCTTGGTCTCACTGCCATCGGGTCAATTCCAACTCCTGTCAGCTGGCTAGAAAAAGAGCCCAGCATAAGCCCAAATACTGTTCTTGCTGCCAGAAATTTGGGGGTGCTAGTTGCAGAGCTCCTAAATAAAAGGATATAGGTAAAAATGTCTCTAGTGACCAGAAGTACCACTTTACCTAAAGGAACAAACAGATTTGGGTGGAGCATTTGTTGGCCACACTTTCCCTTGAGTAAGCTGACCAGACGTCCCGCTTTTGGCGGGACAGTCCCAATTTTTAGCAATTTGTCCCGCATCCCACGGCGTTTTTTAAAAGTCCCAATATTTGACGACAAGCTAGGGTATACGGTTTTCGGCTGCCATGTGGCTATTTCGCCAGGATATGAGTTTTATCAAGTGTCCCGCTTTACCAGTGTTAAAATCTGGCCACACTTTCCCTTGAGAGTAAATTTACAGAGGCAGGCGTTGGCCCTAGGTGCTATGCAGGCTTTCATTTGTTCCACACTGGAGGGTCACGCTCTTTTTGTTCATGAGGCCAACCCATCAACACTAAACAATCAAATCCTCCTCTAGCTACATTTAGGTGGATGTATTCAAACAAAGAATCTCTTTTGTTTTGCATAAATGCATTGCCTTGGCCAAACTTTGAACCATGGGGAACAAAGTAAGTACTTTTCTCAGGGACCCTTCACATGTGTGAGTTGTTTGTAGTGCATGGAATAAAATACTTGGTGCATTATGAGAGACCCATAGGCCAGAGGGTAAAAATATAAAGAAAAATGTTAAATGTCTTCAGATCTCTTTGGACTCATTGATTTTAAAATTCTGAAGTGGAAAGGTGGAGATCGAACCGCACACGTACACGTAGACACAGAGTAGACCAAGAAAAACTCCGTGAGGACAATGGAAGGCCCAACTCGCAAGCGCAGAGAGGAAAGGGAATTTAAGTGCCTAAAATAAAGAGCACACTCACGTTCTGTGGTGAGCTACATGCGGTTTTGTTGTTGTTGTTGTTGTTTTGGTTTTTTGTTTGTTTTTTTTTGTCTGTAATGACAGTAGACACAAAACCCTGTGTAAACCTGTTCTCTTTTTCCCCCTTTCCTCAGCCATCAGTAGCCAGTCGGGCCATGAGAAGAGTGAGTTCCGTTCCATCTAGAGCGCAGTCTCCTTCTTATGTGGTCAGCACAGGCGTGTCTCCTTCCAGGGGCTCACTGAGAACTTCTCTGGGTAGTGGATTTGGCTCTCCATCAGTGAGCGACTCCCGACCACTGAACCCTACTGCATATTCCTCCACGACATTACCCGCTCAGCGGGCAGCCTCTCCATTCTCCGCACAGAGACCCAGCTCCCCAACCGCTGTACGACGAATTGGGTCTGTCACCTCCAGGCAGACCTCCAATCCCAACGGACCAACCCCTCAGTACCAAACCACCGCCAGAGTGGGGTCCCCCCTAACCCTGACGGATGCACAGACTCGAGTAACGGCCCCAGCCCAAAGCCAGGTGGGGTCATCATCCCCCAAACGCTCCGGGATGACCGCCGTACCCCAGCACCTGGGACCTTCACTGCAAAGGACTGTTCATGACATGGACCAGTTTGGACAGCAGCAGTATGAAATTTATGAGAGGATGGTGCCCCCGCGGCCGGACAGCCTGACGGGTGAGTACAGAGTGGAAGCACTGCGAAAGCCTGGGGAGGAAATCTTTCACAGCATTGAACACGGGGTAGTCGTCTCTGCTTTTTCCTAAAATTTCTACTGTGGACACTAGGCTGGCTTGACTTTCAGGCTGATAATTCTTAATGCATAAAGGTATATTTAGATCAGGGTATAGTTTGTCATGAATATATCTTTGCTCCTCCAGTGATTAAAGTTTAAAGTATGTTATTTTGCATGCTAGAAGAATTGGCTGGAATTCTAAGCTGTCTTGTTGTTTTTTTGGTTTGAAGTGAAAGACTTTTTAACCAAGCAGGTCTGATCAAGCATGAAGTTATTGTAAGAGATGCTGTTTGATGATCTGCTTCAACATTTAAGTATATCTGATGTAGACATGCACTAATGTTAGGGAAAGAATATGGATTTCTCCCTTTGCTGCCATGATTTTTATATCCTCATGAGAAAGGGGCAGAACTCAAGAATTCTCATCAAATGCCTCTTGGATTAACTCAGAAAGATACAGGTCCCTGATAGTGTGTAGCTATTCCCTCTGGACTTTCTTATGGAGGGTTTCCCATATGATATGAAATTTATGTTCGATTTGTTCAAATGAGATTTATCTTTAACTCATTTTCTACATGGTATTTTAAAAGTAACACACAACCCAAAACTCACCGCCATTGATTGGTTTCTGACTCCTAGTGACCCTGTAGAGGATTTTTGAAGCTACAACTCTTTGTGGAAGCAGACAGCCTCATCTTTCTCCCTGAGAGCTGCTGATGGTGAGCAGGCTAGTACTTACCCAACAGTGGAGAAGCATACATAACAGTGCTTAAAGAGAGAGGTTAGCTGCTCTTCTTGTCAGGTGCCATTCAGTTGGATCTGATGCATAGCAATCCTACCTAAATCAAAACAGCACTTTATTTAAAAAGTACTACCCAGTCCTGGACCAGCTTCACAATCATTGCTATATTTAAGCCCATATTTTCTGCAACTATGTCAATCCATCTCATCGAGGGTCTTCGTCTTTTTCACTAACCCTCTATGTTACTAGGCAAGGTGTCTTTTCCAGGGACTGCTCTCCTGATTCATGTCCAAGATATCAGAATCTGTAATTAGAAGAGAAAGTCTCAACAAACTCCTCTTTTACCCTCATTCAGCCCAATCACCAGCTAACGTGTCTCCCTGAATGAATGTTTACCTTTCTAAGCATATGCGTTGAATACATACAAGCACACACTGTGTTTCCTTCTCTCCTATTACTGATGAAATATGAGTCCTGGTGGTGTAGTGGTTCTGACTTGGGCTGCAATCCTCATGGTCAGCAGTTTGAAGCCACCACCAGCCACTCTGCGTGAGAAGACTGGACTTTCTACTCCAGTAAACAGTTACAGTCTCGCAAACCCATAGGGGGTGGCTATGAGTCAACATTGACTCAATGACAGTGAGTTTGAGGGTTTTTGGTGTTACTGATGAAATTAATTTAAACATCTTTTTCCTTTACCTTTTTTTCCCTCAATGTAACTGAGCACTTTAATTTATTGTCTCCAAGTTGCTGCATCCCACTGCCATTGAGTAAATTCCAACTCATAGCATAGGATTCTGGAGGCTGGTAAATCTTTATAGGAGCAGGTAGTCTCACAGTGGCCGGTGAGTTTGAATCTTCAACCTCGAAGTTAGAAATCTTAACGGTTACCCAATAGCACCACCATCATACTACATTTTTCACCTACTCCTTCATCCGTTTGTCATACTGTGGAGGTTTGCATGCTGCTGTGATCCTGTAATTGATGCCACCGGTATGTCACATACCAGCAGGGTCAGCTATGGTTGGACACGGGTGTCAGTGGAGGTTCCAGACTACGACAAGCTAGGAAGAAATTAGAGGTGTCCATTACTGAAAATTTGGCCACTAAAAACTTGACGAATAGCAAAGGGGTATTATGGAGTAACAGATTATGAGCCCCCTCAGGTTGTAAAGTATTCAAATTAGAGTCAGCCATAATGATGTGGATAGAACAAAGCTTTCAAGGACCTTCATTTGATGGTGTGGCACAGCTCAAACAGAGAAGCCACAGCTGCTAGCACTTATTAATAACTAGAACGTGGAATGTCCAAAGTATAAATCTGGGAAAATTAGACATTTTCAAAAATTAGATTGCATAAAGGTACCATATATACTCATGTAGAAGCCAACCCGAATATCAGCCGAGGCACCTAATTTTACCACAAAAATAACATTAAAAATGTGCTGACCCCCCAACTACCATGACCCCAATTCTGCCTTGCAGACCTGGTTAGACCAGAGGATGCACAGCGGTACAGATGGGAATTGGAAACGCAGGGAATCTAGGACAGATGAACCCCTCAGGACCAAGGGTGACAGTGGCAATACTAGGAGGGAA